CACCCCTCGTCTTGGAGCTGTCAGGGGACATCAAGTGGCGATTGCCCACGCTCAACCTTCTGCAAAGTATTTTACAGCTTGTTTTCTTTTCTCTTTGTTTTATTTTCTCTGCACAAATGGAAAAATGCAGCAGGCAAAGCAGCTCACATCTGGATTCCCCCGCTGCTCCACACACAGATGTCACCCACCTCCCCACCTGTCCCCAGCCGTCTTGGAGCTGTCAGGGGACATCAAGTGGCGATTGCCCACGCTCAACCTTCTGCAAAGTATTTTACAGCTTGTTTTCTTTTCTCTTTGTTTTATTTTCTCTGCACAAATGGAAAAATGCAGCAGGCAAAGCAGCTCACATCTGGATTCCCCCGCTGCTCCACACACAGATGTCACCCACCTCCCCACCTGTCCCCAGCCCCTTTCTCAGAGACACCTTAATCCCTTGCGCCTTCCTGTTTATCCCCTGCCTCTCTCCGAGGCAAAAATATTGGGTATTAGTTTCATTATCAGATTTCAAGGCGGGGAGGAAAGGGCAGCTTTGTGAGCACAGAGAGGTCAGCCCCGGGCAGAAGGGCGGGGGGGCTGGGCAGCACAACTTCTGAAGGAACCAGCACAGGCTGCCCTGTGAGGCGCTACGTCCTGTCCAGGGGTTCCCCCAGCCACCCGAGCTCTATGCCCCCTCACCTGTCATGTGGGGATCACCAAGGATACATCATGTGTGGCTGCATTGCAGACCCAGGGGCATAACATGAGGCAGGAGGGAGGAGGAAGAGACCCCCCCCACACACACACACACCCTAAGAAGAAACCCAACAGGAAATGCGGCCCAAGGGACGAGGTTCTGTTTTCTTCTCCCCTGAGAAGTTCTCCTATGTCCTCGTTATATGCCAGTCGTCACCACTGCTCCTTAAGCTTCTTCAAAGCTCTCCCACCAACCTGGACTGTGCAACCCCTCACCACCCCAGGCCAGTTCAGTCCAACACACAGGTAGGCACTCCGGCCGCCTGCCAGGCCCCGTGAGACAGGGTGGACAGGGCTGACAGGGCTCCCCCGCCCCTCCGGAGGGAGGTGGAGGGACAGGCGGGCACGCTCAGCAGCAGCTCCTAGACAAAGTGAGACACGTGCTGTCTTTGGCTGTGTTGTTTCCGTGGAGGAACAGTGTTTGCCTTATACCCTCCAGCCCAGAGCAGACCTCCATGTTTTTGTTGCACAAATGAGAGAGAGCAAAAGTAAGTCAGACAGAATATGGATGGACGGATGGATGGATGGATGGATGGATGGATGGATGGAGGAGTGCGTGAATGGATGAATGAGTGGATGGTAGGTGGGTGGGTGTGAATAGATAGGCGGGTGAGTGGATAGAGGGGTGGGTGGTGGATAGATGGATGGATGATGAATGGATGAGTGGTTGGATGAGTTGGATGGATGGATCAGTGGGTGAATTGGCAGGTGGGTGGGTAAATGGGCGGATGAATGAACAGATGGGTGGATGGGTGGATAAATGGTGGGTGAGTAGTAGGTATAGACAGGCTGAAGGAAAGATTTGTGGTCTGCCCAGACTACCCCCTGACAAGCATGCTCCTGTGAGATGCGGCATTCCTTTTACCTTGTATTGCTACTTTAACGGTCTGTTCAAGTAGACTGCAGTGCTTTAAGGAGAAGAACCCGTATCTAGGATGCCCCAGACCAGTGGTCACCAACCTTTCGGACCTCACGGACCACCAGTGATCCGCAGACCACCGGCCGGTGACCGCTGCCCTCAACTCCTCTCACGACCTTAAGTGGGGCCTTGCACAACAGTGACTGAGCCCGCACCTGCTGTTTGATGAGTTTACCAAGCCCGCGTTGGCCCTCTCCCGAAATGCCCGGATGAGCTAACCCCCAGTTCCACCAGGGCTAGCCCAGGCCCAGAAACAATCCAGCGATATCCCCGCCCTGTCTCTCGGGATATCTGGGGCCTGGCTCCCCGAAACTTCACGTGGCTCGGGGCTTTCAGTGGAACAGGAAGGTACTGGCGATGGGCCTCCTCGGAGGCTCTGTGCGTGGCCCAGGGTCCCTCCTCTGCCCTCCAGCACACAGAACCACACCAACATCCCTCCCTCCTTCCCAGGGCAGTTCTTTTGAGAAGGTTCCCCGTGTGATTTCTTCAGCATAACAGGGAGCTTGGACTGACATGTCTGCGCTGTCCAGAGTAATGGCCGTACGAACCATCTGCAGGCTGGGGGCCCTATGTGCATGAGGTTGGTCCCCGGCCCCAGGCTTCCTGCACACCCTTAGCAAGCTCTCACGCCTCCCACTGCCACGTGTCTAGGCCGCAGGGGCAGGCTGGGCATGTGGGCACGTGCAGGGTGGGTGGGGGCTGCTTCTCTCGCCATTTCTTTTGCTAATTTTATCTGTGGCAGCTGGGAAGGACGATGAGACCTACTCACCACACAGAGTTCACAGCCGGCAGGGGGTGAGGATTAGAGTGGTGCTTCTCAACAGGGGTGACTGTGCCCCCAGCAAACATTTGGCAACATCTACAGACACTTTCAGTCATCACAGTTGGGGAGGGAGATGCTACCGGCATCAGCATCGAGGGGACAGAGACCAGGGAGGTTGCTAAACACGCACAGAACAGCCCCCCCCCCCCCACACACACACTCAACAGACCTATCCGGCTCCAAATGTCAACAGCGCCAAGTCTGAGAAGCCCTGGGTTAGGGAGACTGTGTGTCCACACCCCCGGGGATGTGAATTTTTACCGCCTTCACTGCTGTCTAAGATGGTTCTCTAAATGCAAACCCTGCAGCTCTGAGTGCTGCCCAGGGAGGTAAGACGTTCTCAACTCCAAGCCTTTACCAGGCTGGTGGGAGTCAGAGGCCAAGGCCAGCAGACGAAGACCGGCCTCAGGCACTTCTGCTCAGAAACAGGTGGCCATGCTTAGTAACCGCAGAGCGCATATCAGCTCCGGATTCCCAGCTGGCTGGGTGCTGCCTGCGGCACTGACGGTGGGAGAGGCCCTGCTTCTTTGCTCCGGGAATAGGTGGGGAGGACGGGGCCTGAGGACAGAATCGGAGCCCAGACGGAAGAGTCTGGCCAGCCCTGCCCCATGCAGCGGGCATA